AAAAAAAAAAAAAAAAATAGCCGGGTGTTGTGGTGGGCGCCTGGAGTCCCAGCTACTTGGGAGGCTGAGGCAAGTGAATCACCTAAGCCCAAGAGTTTGAGATTGCTGTCGGCTGTGATGCCACAGCACTCTACTGAGGACAACAAAGTGAGACTCTTTCTCAAAATAAACAAAGTCTGAGTTGTAGTTGAGCCCTTCACCTAGCAAGTGTGTTATATACTCCTACATTGTACCCGTTAGGTGAGAGCTGACCAAACCCTCCTGTCCCCCTTTATTGAATTGAATTGTTTTTCTCTCATGTGGGCGTGTAGTTGTTCATCTGCTAGTTTCATATTAGTATTGAATGCATTAAATGCTTGCTTTTCCTTTTTTTTTTTCTTGAGGCACCTTTGGTAGGGTGCGTGGTGTCAGCTCATAGCAACCTCAAACTCTTGGGCTCAAGTGATCCTCTTGCCTAAGCCTGCTGAGTAGCTGGGACTACAGCCACTTGCCACAACATCCAGATATTCTTCTTAGAGATGGAGTCTCGCTTTGCTCAGGCTGGTCTCAAACCCCTGAGCTCAAGCAATCCACCCATCTTGGCTTCCCAGAGTGCTAGGATTACAGGTGTGAGCCACTGCACCTGGCTGCTTTTCCACTCTTGTGTTATTTTACTTAGGAGGATGTTCTCCAAATCCGTCCAGGTAAATACAAAAGATGTAAAATCTCTGTCTTTCTTTAGGGCTGAATAGTACTGCATGGTATACATACACCAAGTTTATTAATCCATTCGTGGTTTGGTGGGCACCTGGATTATTGCCATGTTGTAAATTGAGCTGCTGTAAACATTTGAGCACAGATAACATTACTTTTGATAACATTATAATAATATTACTTTTTTTTTTTTGACACAGGGTCTCACTATGTCTCCCTTGGCAGAGCGCTGTGGCATTACAGCTCACAGCAACCTCAAACTCTTGGGCTTAAGCAATTCTCTTGCCTCAGCTTCCCAAGTAGCTGGGACTACAAGTGCCTATCAATAGCCCAGCTATTATTTTTTTTTTTTGAAACAGAGTCTCACTTTGTCGCCTGGTTAGAGTGCCATGGCATCACAGCTCACAGCAACCTCCAACTCCTGGGCTTAGGCGATTCTCTTGGCTCAGCCTACCAAGTAGCTGGGGCTACAGGCGCCCACCATCACGCCCGGCTATTTTTTTGTTACAGTTTGGCTGGGGTTGGGCTTGAACCTGCCACCCTCTGTATATGGGGCCAGCGTCCTACACACTGAGCCACAGGCACCACACTATTTTTGTTGTCGTTATTGTTGTCATTGTTATTTAGCAGGCCTGGGCCAGGTTCAAACCCATCAGCCCTGGTGTATGTGGCCAGTGCCCTAGCTGCTAAGCTACAGGTGCTAACCCAATGTAACTTTTTTTTATTCTGGGTGGTACCTAGTAATGGGGTCATGGGATCAAATGGGAGGTCTACTTTGAGCTCTTTGAGGATTCTCCTTACTTCTTTCCTATAAAGGTTGTATTAGTTTGTAGTCCCACACCATTCAGTATCGTATCACAGATTTCTTTGTGACTGGTTCATCTGTTGTCATATTAGAATGTAAACCTCATTAGACACAGCAACTCACATGTATAATCCCAGTACTTTGGGAGGCTGAGGCAGGGTCATTTGAACCTAGGAGTTTGAGGTTACCATGAGCTGTGATGGTGCCACTGTAACTCAGCTGGGTGACAGTGTGAGATCCTGTCTCTCAAAGAAAAAGTAAAACATGTAAGCCTCACGAGGGCAGGAGCTTTAGTCTAGTTCACTGTTCTTTTCCTGCCACATAAAACAGTGCTGACCTATTGTAAAGGCTCTGTGAATGTTTTCCATGAATGGTTGGCTTTGCTTCGGGGTAGGCAAACCCTGAAACAAAACAAGCCATCACAGTGAGTGGATGGCACTTCTCTGGTCTGTACGAGGCACTGCAGATGGCAAAGCAGGTAGCCTAGGTGCCAGGACTGAGCACCCCCTATGCCTTGGCTGGTGGCCACACAGCAGCCCCCAGCCTACCTCCTGTCAGCTCCCTACTGATTTTCCCACACCAGGGGCTCTGGGCAACAGCTCTTCTGTCACCAGCCAGCCTGAGACCTTCTTCTCAAAGCTACAGGAGTTCCGGGAAGCCAACAAGGAGGAGTGTATTTGTAGATACCCCGAGTGAGTGGGGTCGGGTGAGGGTGGGAGGGGGCAGCTGAGGGATTCCCATCGCCCCTGCCACTTACCCCTCTGTTCTTGCAGACCCCAGTTCCTGGGCCAGCCTGAGAGCAGCAATGTGGAGGAGGACCATGAGTGTGAGTGTGTGACTCTGTGCCCCCATGCATGTCTTCCCCTGCCCCAGAACAGTCCCCGTCAAGGTGTGGGCACCTCAAGAGACATCCAAGGTGTTGAGATCTCAGGGAGGGAGGCCTGGGGTCTCCCCTGGCCAGGTCCTCATGGGGGTCTGGCCTTGGGACCAGGAGACTATGGGTTGCCCTAGATGTCTCCACCACTACCCCCATGCCTTGCAGCCTCCAGCTGGCTGGGCCAGGCCCTGCAGGGCTCCATTCTAGCTGCCAAGAGGCCTGGGAAGATGTTCCTCCCCACTCTCCTGGGGTGGACCCCAGGCTCTGGAAGGAAAGGGGCTGACAGGCTTTTGTGGTTGGGGACAGCTAGGAACCCCAGGGATCTGGCTTCCTTGGCTCAGGGGACCTGCTATCTCTTGTGGGCCTTGTAGGTGTGTACTGTTACCAGGTCAACCGGCGCCTGTTTGTGGTGCCCTTGGATCCTGGCACCCCCTGCCGCCTGTGCAGGATACCACGGAGCCAGCGGGACCCTAAAACCCTGGAGGAGTCAGCGCAGGTCAGGTAAGTGGCCAGAGCATCGTGATACCTGGGGGGCAGAGCCTGCCTCCTACTTGTTTTAGGGAGGGGGAGTATGGGCCTGGGCCTGGGCCTGGGCCCCCGGCAGCAGGGACTTGCCTCAGCATCTCTCCCTACTCCTGCACAGGGTGAGCATCCCACTGTCCATCCTGGACCCTCCCCACCAGTACCGTATCCACCGGCGTAAGAGCTTCGACAACTCCGACACGCTGGCCCTGCCTCGGGTAAGCAGCCACATTAGGTGGGGTGCATTGGGTGGGGTGTGACGGGGCTGTCCCCACGTGGATCCTGAGCCCCGGGGAGAGCCAAGAAGTAAAGCTGGACTCAAGGAAGGTGAACACCCGGGTCACTGGAGTGTAGGCCAGGTCTCTTCCGTCACCCACAGTGGGCTTGTCCTGAGACAGGAGGGACCGATCACCCCAATACCCTGTGGCTTCCAGAGTGTATCTGCCCACATGCTGCCGTGAGAGCCCCATTTATCAAGCTCTTGTGTGCTATGGGACAGCTCTTAGGAGGGTCACCTTAGGGAGCCCCATCGCAGGCAGGAGCTGGGTGCTGTCTACACTCAGCACCCAAGACAGGCTGGGAGGGCATGCCTGGTGCAGGTCTCTGTGCTGCCTGGGTGCCACCCGCAGGAAAGGATGGGTCAGTGATGACCTAACCCCACACAGTTGAGGGTGGGGCAGCTGGAGTCAGGGAAGGAGAAGGCAGGCTGAGAAAAGACAGTTGGCTTACCTGTGAAATGGGTATCACAGAGCCATCCTTGGGCTGTCACGGGTGAGGTAGGGCAGTTCAGGATCCATCATATGGGTGCTTAGGCAGAGCCCATAGACAGGGGGTCAGTGTCATTGCCCTGCCCTCCTCCCATCTCAGCTCCTGGAGTCCCGAGGGTGGCAGGATCTGCAGAGAAGACAGGGGAGGCCCCATGGTGATCTAGTGGGAGGACACAGGCTGCGCTCGGGGAGCTTCCGTCTGAGTGCTCAGGGGCACCTCCACCCTGATGGGGGCACCCTGCCTGGGCCAGGCACCTTAACCCTTGTTATCCACAGCACTGCCTGCTGGGCTGGGACATTCTCCCTCCGAAGTCTGAGAAAAGCTCAGCCCTGAAGAGCCTGGACCTCTGGTCTGCTGTCTCCTCTGGGGCCCAGCATCAGAAGATGTCAGCCACCAGACCTTCCTTCCTGGTATGGTTCAGGTGTGGCCCAGGGTGAGGCACCCCTAGGAGGGACAGATTCTTTTGGAACATGTCTGGGATTTGGGTGGGGAGTACAGAGCCCAGGAATAATGTCTCTTCAGGGCTTGTTTCCTTGCCCTGACCCAAGGTATCCCTCAGGACTCCACCACTCCTCCTTGCCCTGCTCTAGCCAGGAAGGTGACCCTGACTGTAAGATCCAGGAGTAGGGAGGCTGGAACTGGGGGCCACCTGTACCCCAGATGGCCCCCCTGAGACCTCCCTGTCTTTTATCCAGGCTTTGCCAGCACGGGTCCCACCCCCACCCCCAACCTGGATAGAACCCCAGGTCCCTGTGCCCCATGTCCCACGGCAGTAGCCCTGAGGACTGCCCACTTGGAGGGACAGCGCTCCTGCCACCTTTTGGATGCTCCTAGCTGGTCTCAGCTGGCCATGGCTTGGGTCTTGCTCTCCTAGGTCAGGCAGGTGGGCCTAGGCCTGTCTCCTGCTTGGGGTCTACAGAGGGGGGACTTCTGGGTGGAGAAGGAGATTCCATGACAAGTTTGTAAATAAAGCTTAGGTCTTTGGAGCTCTGAGTCCTGAGAGTCTGTCCTCCCCTCCCTGAGGAAGGAAGGGACACCCTGAGCACCTGAGCTGAGCAGCACACGTCTGGGACCGTGACGTGGCTCTGTCTGCAGCTTCCCGGCTCTAGATAGATGGCCTAGCACCAGAGAGAGGGGGGTGATTCTCCAGACAGGCTGGGCCAACATTGTTGTTAAAAAAGCCATCTCAGGGCAGTGCCTGTGGCTCAAAGGAGTAGGACGCCAGCCCCATATACCAAACGTGGTAGGTTCAAACCCAGCCCCTGGCCAAAAACTGAAAAAAAAACAAAACAAAACAAAAAAAACCCATCTCAGCAGGGGTCTCAGCTGACACTGAGATATAGCTGAGAATTCTTGGTTCCTGAAAACCAGGATCTGTTGACAGAAAGGCTCTCTGGGCATCCCTGGGATGGGTGACACCCTAGGAGCCGTGGGTGGTCCAGAGCCCCTGAAGGTACAGATGGGGAAACTGAGGACTGGGCACTGAGTTGGAGGCAAGGATGGCAGAGAGCCCCAACATCCCCCCTGGGGTTAACAAGCAGCACCCTGTCTTTCCTCCACTTCTTGTACATGTTAGGTTGAATAATATAAAATTTACATTTTTGTTGTACAGAAACTAGAAGTATGTGCTTTTTCTGAGGCTTCTCAGGGGTGGAACTGGGCTGTGCTGGCCTGGGGCTCCTGCCTAGAACTTGTGAGGCTGTGAACACTTGTTTTCCTGTAGTTCGTGTCCCCTGTGTTAGGATGAACTGAGTTAATGCTGCCGTAACAAGTTAATGCCCTAAATCTCAGTGGTTTCACCTAGGAGCTTATTTCTTGGTGACTTGCTTGCACTGTGTGTCCTTCATGGGTCACAGGGGACCCATGCCATTGGTGATTTTGCCATGTGGCACATCCCCAGTCACTCACTTCAGCCCAGAAGTGGCAGGGTCATTTCTCATAGTTCATTGGCTAGGACCAGGCATGGGGTCAGAACATGGAGGGAGCACATGAGACATTAAGTGAAAACTTTCCCACATGGCCTGCCTACCCGAGTCCCACCAGCTCTGGCCCTGCAAAAGCAGGAGTGCAAAGCTCCCAGGCACTGGGCCACAGACGCCATTAACAAAAGAATAGGCAATACCAATTCTTGCTTTAAGTCTTCCCTCACTTTTTCTGGGGTTCCAGACCCTAAGTGGCTAGGCAGGTAAGGTGATTGGGAATGACAGGGCCCAGGGCCACCTGGTGAGCTCAGGTCTCTTACAAAGGCTTTCACAAGGTCAAATGTCTACCTGGTCAAGTCATCCCGTCTGAAGGGCAGGTTCAGCAGCAGGCCAGGCTTTTGCCACTTGATTCCAGGAATTGAATAAAGAAAGTCTATTTGAGTCCCTGCATTCAATTTTTTTTGGTGTATACCTAAAAGTGGAGCTAGAGCAAGACCTCATCTCCCATGTGACCACAGCCATCCACCACAATACCCGGCTGTTTTTAGAGATGGTGGTCTCACTCCAGCTCAGGCTGGTCTCAAACTCATGAGCTCAGGCCATCTGCCCACCTCAGCCTCCCAAAGTGCTGAGATTACAGGCATGAGCCACAGCGCTCAGCCACATTGTCTAGGTTTTTTAGTTTTTTTTTTTTTAAGACAGTCTCACTGTGTCGCCCTGGGTGGAGTGCCTTGGTATCATCATAACTCACAGCAATCTCAAACTCTTGGGCTCAAGTGATCCTCCTGCCTCAGTAACTGGGACTAGAGGCATCTGCCACTATACTAAGGTGACCAGATTTTAACATTGGTAAAGCCGGACACCATTGAGGGGGGAGGGGCGGGGCCTGACAATAATGCAAACTTTGATAAGCAGTTCTCGATAATCAGTTCTCAACAATTACTTGTTACTATTAAAGTTTAACATTATAAAATTAACAAAAATAATATAAAACTCATATCCTGGCGAAATAGCCACCTGGCAGGCAAAAAATATTCCCTTCCTGTTCTCCCGTGTTCCCTAGCTTGTCGTACATTCTTTCCAAAAATCAGGACTTTTTTAAAACCCTGCAGGATGTGGGACAAATTGTGAAAAATCGGGACTGTCTCGCCAAAAGTAAGATGTCTGGTCACCTTACTCTGGGGAAGGGGGCTACTTGTTTGTTCCAGACAGTTTAGCTCCTTCTGAGCTAATTGTCCTTGCCTAGAAGCAAGGGAGGGAGCCAGTCTCCTTCTGGCTTGCCCAGAAGGGGAGTAGGGACCTTGCCCAGAGGGGAGTAGGGAGTTTACATTAGCCTTTTCATTTCCAAATGAAGTTACATTAACCTTTTCATTCTCAAATGGAGTTACATTAACCTTTTTAGCAGCCGAAAACAGTATATCCCCTTCCCATTCTCCCGCTGTTCCCTAGCTTGTGCATGCTTTCAAAAAATGTGCTCTGTTTTCAAAAATCGGGACTTTTTAAAACTGTCACAGGACGCAGGACAAATTGTTAAAAATCAGGACTGTCCCGCCAAAAGCGAGACGTCTCGTCACCTTACACTATACCCATCTAGTTTTTCTATTTTTAGTAGAGGCAGGGTCTCACTCTTGCTCAGGCTGGTCTCGAATTCCTGAGCTCAAGCAATCCATCGACCTCCCAGAGCGCTGGGATTACAGGTGTGACCTACTGCACCTGCCCTGCTTGTCTGTTTTTCTGATGGTGGCTGTCCTAATGGATGTGAACGGCATCTCATGGTGGTTTTGATTTGTGTTTCTCTGATGGTCCGTGATGTTGAGTATCTGCTTATTGGTAGAAGATATACAACTTATCTTTTCTGGAGAAATGTCTATTCAAGTCCATTGCCCATGTTTTTAGTAAGGTAATTTCTTTCTTTCTTTCTTTCTTTTTTTTTAGAGACAGAGTCTTAGTTTATCACCCTTGGTAGAGTGCTGCAGCGTCACAGCTCACAGCTCACAGCTCACCTCCTGAGCTTAGGTGATTCTCTTGCCTCAGCCTCCCAAGTAGCTGAGACTACAGGCGCCACCACAGTGCCTGGCTATTTTTTTTTGCAGTTGGGCTGGGGCCGGGTTCGAACCCACCACCCTCGGTATATGGGGCCAGTGCCCTACTCACTGAGCCATAGGCACCATCCTTAGTAATTTTGTGTCTAGGAACCAACCGTGGGAGCCAGTTGCTTTGTTAGAAATTCTTGGGCCAGAGGCAGAAGAGAGTCTAGAATCTCTTTCTCTCAAATACAAGTGGCAACATTTACATATCTGAGATCTGCTTATAGATTCAGCTGTGTCTAACAGGACCCAGAAGGCAATAGCCTAAACCACATACAAATGCTCATTTCTTTCCTGTAATGGCACTGGCAGGAACGCTTTCATGGGTCTATTAAAGCAGGGCTTTAAACAATTCAAGTTATTTTGAAACTTTAGGAAGCTTCCACCCTGTTTGCTTCCAGTCAGTTCCATGAGCAAGAAACCACAGACCAAGATCCCCAGACACTGTGTTTGAAGACAGTGTCAAGTTGAAGTCTGTTGAAGACAGTTTCAACCACAGTGCCCCACGGAGGTTGAAAGACTCAGCCTCTCTTTATGTAGCCCCAGGCAAAGTGCTGCTTGCCACATTCTGGTGCTCACTGAAGCTGAGATGATGCTGATTTCGGAGATGTTACAATGTAAAATAATTTGCATCTCAAGTTGATGAGATGCAGAAGTTCTTAAACCTAAGAACTCCAGTCTTACCAAGTACTGGCCTCTGTGCTCTGCCCATCCAGAGCCCGCCGGGAGCAGTGGGGGGTGGGGAGGGAGGCAGCGTACTGGGTCTGATCCTTGCTGCTGGTCTGCCTGGCCTCTCCAGGGAGGTGCCGGAGGAAGCTTTGGGCCACAGGCTTCTGTCTTGCCCTTGCCACCTCTCCAGAGCTGCTGCTTAGGACTTCCTGGGCATGGGCTTTTCCAAACCTGTGGGGCCCCAAGAATGAAGGTCCCAGGCACAGGGGCCCTGGAGCAGAGCTCATGTCTTCCAACTTGGTCCCCACACCCTGCTCCCCCCTCCCCTGTTCTCTGTTCCCTGAATGTCCCTACTGCCCTCCCAGGCACCTGCAAGCTACTCCTAATTCTCCCAGGCCCTTCACTCCCTATAACTTGGGTGCCAGGATGTTCTTCTTATCTCCCACCTTCACCCCATCCTGATCTCAGTTTAGCCATGTCTTCTTTCCAGAGGCCACCCTGAACCTCTGGACTGCTCAGGCTGCCTACCTCATGTGTGCACTGCTTCCCTGCCCTCCTCCTCCCAGGTCATAGCTGCTACTGAATAGCTGATGCCGAGATGCCTTGTTTAATGTCTCATAGCACAGTGGTTAGGGCACCGGCCACATGCACCGGGGCTGGTGGGTTCAAACCCAGCCTGGGCCTACTAAACAACAATGACACTGCAACAACAAAAAAACTAGCCAGGCGTTGTGGTGGGCACCTGTAGTCCCAGCTTCTTGGGAGGCTGAGACAAGAGAATCACTTAAGCCCAAGAGTTTGAGGTTGCTGTGAGCTGATGCCATGGCACTCAGTACTGGGGGTGACATAGTTAGACTCTGTCTCAAAAAAAAAAAAATCTCTCTCCCTTGCTAGCACTGAAGCACCTTGACAGCAGAGGTGGCACTGCTTTTCTTAGTTAGAATGTTTTAATTTTGTTTTCTCAAAGTCATAGCTAAATTGTATTCCAGGATCTGGCTTTTTCATCTAGCCTGGTTTCTTACCTGCCTTGTGAAAGTGATGGATGGATGCCTCCATTTCTCTGAACATAAGGAGCCTTTGTGGTCAGCCATACGCCCTGGTAGGCCTTACATGTACCTCCCCTATCCCAAATTGGTAGCATTCCCTGTTTCCTCCCTTCTCCCCACTCCTCTCCCCCTCCTCTCCCCTCTTCTTTCCCCTCCCTTCCCTTCTCCTCTCTTGTCCTTTCCAAGTGTGTAGCACAAATTGCAAAGGAATAAAGCAGGATCACCTACTTTTCCAAAACCGATGTGTTGTGGTAGTCATTAG